CTCAACCCCATCCTTGGCGTCAGCCTTACCCCCTCACATCTGCATGAGAACAAAAGAAAGCAATAACATTGACAGTATCACCATATCTTCAGCCTCAATTACAGTCTGCTTAGGCTGCTCCAGTTGTTTATCGTCCTGTAATAAACTACCCCAAAACTCAGTGGCATGAAATAGCCACAATGTTATTTTTCTCATAGGTTTCTTGGGTTTGACATTTACACAAATCTCTGCAAGGCGGGTTTGTCTTTGTTCCATGGTTTGTAAGGCTCAGCTGAGAAGACTCATGCAGCTGTGGGTGACAAGTCTGGATCACTTTTCTTCACTCATGTCTGATGCCTGGCTGGTATGATCTGAATGATCCTTGGTATTCTCTCCCCCCTCCCCCTCTCTCTCCCTTTCCTTCTTCCTCTCCCCCTCCCTCTCCCTCTCCCTCTCTCATGCACACAGGTTTCCAGGCCCTCTATAGATAATTCATCTCTCTCTGTGACTTTTGCAGCATGTAGGATCAGAGTGGTCAGCTTCTTGTGTGGTAGTTCAGGGCTCCAAAGACAAAATTCCAAACAAGCTAGGCTGCATGACCTTTGACGACTTAGTCTCATAGTCACAATACACCCCTTCTGCCACAATCTGTTATTCAATTTAGTCACAGGCCCTCTCAGATTCAAGAGGAGGTAACATAGTCTCCAAGTCTTCCTGGGGAGAAGGCCAGTGAATTTAAAGTCATGTCTTAGAACTACTGCAAAAGCCTCAAGCCCTGCCTGAGGATGATCGTTCCTATCCCTGACTCCATCCATCAGAAGGCACCATCTGCCTGCATTAGGGGAAGTCTTAATTCCAAAGTTCTTGTGAAATATCAATGATTTCCGCCCTGGGATCTTTCTAAACCTGCCTCTTTTCTCCCCGTGATTTAGTGAGGCATTCTTGCTACAAGTTTGCTTCTAACCAGCTATCGCTTCTTCTCTGTCCAGTCCATTTCTTCTCTTCCGACTTCCTGATTTGTATCTGTCTCCTGACAGCATGTCTTGCCCTTTCTTTATATATGTTCTGGAGACATAACTCCCCAAAGGAGATTTCTGTTTTCTTCACTTCTTCTTCTTTTTTTTTTTTAAAAAAAAAAACCCAAAACCTGCCCAAAATGCCCCAGTGAAGTGTTCCCCTCCCTGTTTTTCCCAGAAAACAGCACTTTGCTATCTGGTAACCCAGGCTTGCCAGGAAAGGGATAGCCATCCCGGCTCTCCACTACTCCTTGTAATTCTCCACCCACCAACTGTCCCTTTACTCAGTGTTCTCAGTCACCAAACTTGAAATCAATCTTCTCATACAACTTCCATGATCTTCCTGCCTCAAAGCAATACCCTAGACTCACAGTGGTTGGCCCTCCTCTGCTCGGTGGCCTTTCCTGCCCTTCATCCTCAATAGCCACAGTTGTCCTAGATGAGCCCTTCCCCTATGTCCTGGTGGTACCCTCCACCCACCTGCTTTCACCTGGAGCTTGATTCCTCTAGCGTCTTTAAGAAATCCCTCTGTTTACCACCTCTTCTCTTTCTGATGTCTTTGCTTCAAGCTGTAAGTGATACAGAATTACCTCTTGGTCAAAATTCTCTTCTAAAGCTAATGTCCTCATGGGCTGCCTTAGAACTTCTGTAACTCCATTACCCCCCACACCCACCTCCAGTGTCCTCCTCTGTCCATCTTTGCTAGTGATGCTCCCCTCCTCCCCTGCTGCCTCTCTGCTCCTGTCTGCATATACTCCCTGGTGACTCCACCTACTTGATTGGTTACAGCTACCGTTCCCACCTAGATAACTCTCACATCTCTTGCTATGACCCTGCCATAAACTCTGGAGTGGCATTTGCAATGACAGATTGCACCTTTGCAACCAGATGTCCCATATGTATCTCCAGCCTCAGGAGCACCGCAGCCCTTCCTATCATCCCCCTCCTCCCATCCTCCCCAGGTAGAGCACATTTTTAAAACTTAGCTTCCATGCCAAGAAGTAATGATGGTGATAACTAATTTTTAAAAAATAATCAAATGTGAAATTTCACTCCATGTGCTGCTTAGCTGTCTGCAGCAGGCAGAGTGCAGGACACACTGATGGTCAAGTAAAGACAGATGCTGATTAGCATAACCAGTATCTCAGGGATGGGCAATTCTTTTAGCTGTCCTTACTGGAAATGCTTTTCAAGAATATCTCCAATTTTGTTCTTATTTTAAGCTCTGCAGGCATCTTTCTGATAACATAATTAGATCTACCTTGAACAAAAGGCAGATGTCTGTTATTGTGACTGGGATATAGCCACTGTATACTTGAAATTGGCAATCTAGCTGGTAAATGATTCTCTTGTCAGTTTGCTTGGTGTGAGTCAGTCCCTCAGCATTGGTGAACTCTAGATGAACTGTTGAGATCAAGTTTCTGGATCTGCAAAACCAGAGACCAGACTGTGGGACTGAAAATAAACCATGAACCTGAGAGGTGAGGCCCAGCAAAGGAGGTCGGCAAAAACTTCTTGTTCATATAGTTTAGCTGGATTCACTTTGTCTCCTGCATCTTTGTTCCCCTGGGCATGTGCCCTAGTGCAAATCAACAAAAAGTCGAACGCTTGACTATGTGAAGTTCAGTGGGGCACCCCAAGGAATAATATTAAATGCACCCAAGAGACCACTTAGTTCCACAACATGAATCTCTAGGAGACCAGCAAAGCCTCCACAGCATGAAAGAAGATGACAGAAGTCTAGAACAAGCACAAATAGCACAAGAAGTGGCAGAATTCTCAGTGGCCACAAAAAGTGCATGCCTGCCCCTCCTGAGTGGGAGCTGCACAGAGTACCATGTGCTCTATTTCACTTAACTCCTCCAACACCCTGTGTGTGGTGTACCCTTGTGCCCATTTTGTAGCAGGGGAACTCACAGCCAAGAGGGTTTAAATAATTTCCCAGGGCACACAAGTTGCAAGTGGTAAAGTGGGTTCAAGCCCAAGGATTCTTATCGTAAAGCTGATGTTATTAAGCCCAAGTGGAGATTTACTGTGTTGCTGTTAATTGTTCAAACATACTAAGAAACAGTATGAAGTGGTAAGTCATCGGCATTTACATAAATCCGAATTTCAATTAAAACATCTTTTAACTGCCAACAACCATCCTGAAAGGTAGGCTATGCTGCTTCAATAATTTCTGTGGGAATTCTAAATGGAACGTTTAGAAGCAAATGGCACTAAAAGAAAGAATGGGACAAGTACATGTACAAAATTAGCAATTACCATTGTACTTACTTAAGAACAGTTTTGAAAAACAACTTCTCTTCTCCTATTCCTTTAACTTCATGCCACCTGTTACTAAATGAGTAATGGAGAATTTTCAAAATTTTTTTAACCATGATAAGATAAAAAATAAAGTGTCCACTGAAACCTAGGACACAAGTGTGTGTATATAGATTTATATGCATATATATGTATATGTATCTGTAAAGTTGTGTGTCTGTCTGAAATTAAAATGGCAAAGCATTTCCAGGTTACAGCCTCTGGACTATTCCATTTTGTTTTGGTTAGGAGCATTAATCACAACCCAATGCACTGATAGACATTCTTTGCTAGATCCACCTTTGAATGAAAGCTTTGTTCTATCTGCAAACCAAGGTGACAGAATTAACTGGATCATTTCCAAGGTCTCTATTGCTTTAGTCCATCATCAAGGACTTCCCACCTCCACAGAGGTGATTTTCTCTCCCCACAGGTCATCTAGAAACACAGTGCTTTTCTATCTTTGCAGTGCCAATGACCCCCATGAGCCTCTCTTGCCACTGCCCCTACCCAGTTCTCCCAGCTGCTCAGACCGGGGGCCTGGCTCCATCCACAGCTGCTGTTCTGGACTGTCCATCCCAGTGGCCATGCTGGCTGGAGATGGCAGTCCCTAGGGGCCAGCCCAAAGCGTTCTAACCCTGCAGGCTTCAGCAAGCATGGCATTAACATTAGCATGGACTTCCAGTGACATCCGCTGTGTCTATAATGCCCCATCCCATCCGATCTCTGGACCATAAGACTCTACTTTGAATTTAGGAAAAGCATTTTACATCTGGCAATGGAAGCTCTGGTCATATTGGGGGCAAAATTCTAAATCTCCCAAAAAGAATCTAAACTCTCCAGTTCTTTATGGCAAGAGAGGGGGAATCAAAAGCACATTGACTTCTGGAGAGACAGAGCTCTCCAACTCTAGCCCCAAAGTGATTTAGAAGATCAAAAGTTGTTCAAAGCTTTAGAGTAAATTCTTCTTCAATCAGAAAGATAATTGCATAATTTCTATTTATGTACCACACACACACTACTACCCTCACACACTACACTTGATGTTAATAAGTAAGGCTTCCCAAATAGTGAACTCTGGACAGCACATCTAATGGAGGAGCTGGCAGCGACTGACATGCATCCTAAGGGCGGCAAGGGTGCTAGGTTTTCCACACACAGGCTTTTGTTACAGGGCCCCCTATTTCAGCAGACACCAGGAAACCTAACGCAGGACCATCGTTCACCTACCTTCTCCACTGAGATAGAAAGAGGGGATGTTTTAAGATGCTTCATTCCATCATCTGCATTACCTCTGCAGCACAGTGAACACATCTGCGAGATGCAAGCAAAGTAGGTGAACAGACAGCAACCACAATGGACTATCATTAGCATGATGACGTCCATGGATCACAAGTCAGATGCAGGAAGATGAGAGTCAGTGCTTTAAACCCACATGGGAAGTACGTATTAGGGCAATGCTGTCTTTTGCTTTAAATAATTAAATCACACCCTTGTTGACAATGAAAGATCCAATAATGATGATATTAGGAATCACCTTGCATCTGGATGCTTCCCTTAGCATGTAGTTTCACAGCCCAGTTTTCACCTTGAGAAATACCCAAGTTAGTTCAACACACCCACAGGACTTGTCTGTATGTAGTGTATCAATTCAGGAAAACTTGTGCATGATAATACTGTAATAACATAGAAGCCAGAAGCCACGTTTTATGGTTTTATTGAGTCTTTTTCAGTTTTAATTGTCTATGGTGAGTACAATTCTAGTGACTCTCATTATGAACCTCTGCTGCTGCTATAAATAGTGGGTACAAAGTTGGCTGTCATGCCTTAGCCACACACACACACACACACACACACACACACAGATTCTGCATACTCCTGCATGCAACAGTACTATGCTATTATAGGAAATATATACTCCTTTTATTAAAAACACAATTATACACAATTAGTCTGGATATCGTTAAGCTACCGCCTATTGAGATAAACCTGAGAAGGCTCAAAATGTCAAGTAACACTGTTTCATACCACCCATTCAATGGCACTATTAATCACAAAGAAATCTTGTTCAATTCTCTATATTAAAATCACAGATAATATAAAAATAAACATTTTTGCAAAAACACTAAAACATAATTCAAATTCACAAAGCTTGATATGTAACATATATTCACCTTCATGTTAATGTGTGATGTGTACACGACAAGGTACATGAGAATTTGAAACTGTCACAGAAATCAGCAGCCCAATAAGAGAATGAGTCTCCAAATCCTGCTGTTAAAGCTACCCACCGAACAATGAAGACATTAAAATCAATAGCAATGTTGAACTTGCTGATAGTGTTACTTAAAAATTCCATCTCAAAGAAATTAAGATTATACAATTTCACTTTAAGAAGAAACACAATGCAGAATCTTCAGTACTAAGCAATAACAGGTGATAATATCAGCTGATTTTTTTTTCCCATCTCCCTGAGGCCTGTCAATAAAGTCAAATGTTGGTCCTATAATGCACATTCCAAAAGACAAACACAGAAGTGACCAACTTGATGTAAGAGAAGCATTTTGCCTTTGGGAGTGGATACTCTGATCACAGTGGGGAGCAAAATTCTAAATCTCCTGAAAAGACAACATGTATTTTTCTATAATATATATAAAATGTAGATAGACAGAGCCAGTCTGGCTAAAGTACTTCCTATTTTGACTATTGATTTTATGATAATCTGACACCAGATTGTGTCTACACAGAAGAACTCTGAAAAGGCTAACACGCAAATCCATTTAAAGGGAAAATTAGTCACTTGCATTGCGAAACAGATTTTCATATTTTAGACACACAGAAAACCAAAGACGAACATTTCAAGAAACTGCTATTCGAAAAGAGCATCGTGATATATAATTGTCATTGTGTCTATGCATCATATATTATGTTAAGTACACCAGTGTGACATAATAATATACATTGTAATAAATACCATTTACATCATGATATTGGATCTTTCAAGAAAGTTTTTCAGTCTGTACAAATGAAGGACTGTGAGCTTCCTCAATAAATACTATTACGATAGGTACAATTTAACCAGCAATGCTGAAGCTTCAGTAGATCTAACTAGGATCACCTTTAAGTACTGTCACTAGTTGAAGCGCAGCTGCTGTAAGCACTGATATCTGATGTATCCAAAGGTTATCAATCAGTGTCCTGTCTGAGGAGACAGAGAAGACTTGCAGGGTATGACCTGCCCATCACAACCTCTGGACCTTGTAAACTTGTGAGTCCAGCACTGGACTGCAGAGTCCTAGAAAACACAGTAGCAGATTTCTTGCACAGTCCAGTTTTCAAGCTTTGCCAAATCCCTTACAGCATCAGCAAATGATGTCAGAAAATCCTTTCTAATCCACGAAGAATGGTCTTCAAAGGGTCAAGAGTCCCACAGCTGGCCCAGCGGCAACTTTATGGGCTTAACTCTGAATTCTGACTTGCAGGCTACATTTCTTCTTAGCTTATCTTTCTATTTCAATGTAAATACAAATTGATGTTCAAAGAGTCAAAGATATCCATTTATACAATCAATAAGAATACTTGAACGTGGCATTAAAATATTTTTGTAAAACTTAGTTAACTGCTAAGTTCTATAATTGTAGCAGCTTTTTCATCCAAATGCCAACAGATTGCTGCCTCTACTATTCAAATACTTACTCATTTCCTCATGTGGCATGAATCAGCTTTTCAGCCAATAGATCACTATTTCATCCTGACCCTCTGTTATGTTTTTCACCATTAGGACGGATCTTCCCAGAGACTTCTGTTGGCCTGGAAGGAGTTGGCAAGATCATTCTTGTTACTAGGTGGCATGCATTCACATGTCATTGTTGGCATGAAGCAAAGAAGAAACACTTTGGAAAAAAAACATGCCAATTAGTAAAAGGACATTTCTAGCCACTGTCCACCTTCTGGCTGGATCTGCTCTTACAGAAAGTTCTCTGGAACCTGAAACAATGTATTTAACACATCCCCCCAAGGAGTCTGGGTATCCTGAGACCTGAAAGGAAGAAAACCTAATTAAAAAAGAGAGAAAAATATTACAGAAATGTGTACCAGTGGGCTGCAAGTTCAAGTATAATACAGGCAGTGGAACTGTGGTCAGTTTAATAATGTTGATATTGTTTGAAAGGGTCAATACCCTAAAAAAAAAATTAAGTAGATTTTGTCTTAGGATTTTAAAACTGACAATGTTGTATGAGCCTCATGAAGTGAAAATGCTGCAAACCCTCATTGCTCAAAAGGAGGAAGTACAATAGGTTTCTTCTTGACTTCATTTCCATAATCCTATGCATTAAGATGCACTTGTGAACAAAAGCACTACCCAGAACGGCTAAACACAGCTTTTCTTCATTGATCTTAATGGCTGGAGTTGGGTAAACTGAAGCAACTCCGAAAGTCTCACAATTCTCAATCCATCTGGGCATTGCAAGTACTGACACCAATTTCTGAATTCCCTGTCACACTGTTTCATAGGGCACTGAGCTTCCTTCCTGATTTAACATACAGCCCTACATGACTCCACTTATGAGGTGCTTCTAAATGTGTCCTCCACCCTCAGCCTGCACTCTGTGCTGTCAGCTGGATGGGGTCAAGTTTTACAGCTGGAAACTCCTTGGATGTTGGGTTTATTTGTGGTTGTTATATTTTCTCATCATTCCCACGATACAACATTTGAGCATTTCAAGGGCTAGAAATGTAGTAATTCAGTATTCACTGAAAATTATTATTTAAGTTGTTGAACTATTTTACAAAATTTTCATTAAAGCCTGGCAGAATAAGAAAACACTGCCAGGCCCTCTTCATTCTATAGTTTGCTTTGGATTTTTTTTTTCTTTCTTTTTTTTGGTACCAGGGATTGAACCCAGGCACTTAACCACTGGGCATATCATATCCCAGTCCTTCATTCTACAGTTTGATTAGTACTTTCTACAGTTTGCTTTTCAGTGCAATGATACCTTAGATGCTTCAATTTAATTTCCCATACTTCTCTTTCCACATGTTTCATTTTCCTTTAAATGTTAGGATGTAAGATTCAGGAAGACTTTAGCTTCCTATTCCATCAATACAACCCATACAAATTCTGCCTACTTCTCCTTTTCATATTGCATTTAAAGTTTTCAAACACTCTGAAGAAGCAAAAAGAACCTTTCCACCATGGTTTTATAGTCCTTGTTCTAGAAGTTCTTTTCCCACCCTCACTTGCCTCCTGTTTAAGAGTATAATTGTAGCCTCTGCATTGTGGGCGACCCTCAACCACCCACTTCTGAAAACACTGCCCCCATCCCTCAATTTGCTAACCATTCTTCAATTGCACTCAAACTTTACTCTGTAATTTTACTGTGATTTTTGTAAACTTGTTTTCACAGATGTGAGTGAGCACTTGTCCTGGAACACAAACAAAGTCCTAAGACACTGCCCAGCAGTGTGCAAGTAAACTCATTATCTCAGGAAGTCTAGCAGGGCTCATGGTGTTTACAAGGAAAATACATGCACTTTGATTACTTCAAATGCATTTTTCCAGTAAGATAATATATGCAGACCTCTACCATCAGACATTTAGTATCCAGGGTGTCTTAAGCAGTTTTCCAGAAATAACTGAAAAATAAACACTTTTCAGGTTTTTATGTTCATTGACTTTACTTTTCTATTCAATTCCCCAAAGAAATTCAGTCAGCTGTGTTCATTCTTTACTGGACGAACTCAGTTAAGGACTCTTAAACTATTCTAAGTATGTTTGAGGATATGGATTTTCAATTTGTTCATGCCATGGGTTATTAAAAACAATAAACCAGGATAAGTCACAAACTCAAGTTTCAGGTGGCTAGTTTTCCTGGAGAAATTATTAATATTAAATAGCTCTACTTCTCATGTGCACACACACTTTAACTAGAAAAGCTTGTAAATTTTAAAGGCAGACAAGAAAGTAAAAGTTTAACTAGGTAGTGTTGTTTTATTATATAGACTACTAGTCGGTAAGAAGGGGGACTGAAAAGAAACCTGAATGAGCTAAGCGCAGAGGAGGGCATTTCAATCCCCCTCCCCCTTTAACTCACTACATTCTTTGAATTTTCTCTTAACTAGAAACTTAAAGGGGAGAAAGCAGTTGGCTGTGTTAAGCATCCTACCATGTTACAAAAGTGAGGTGTTTGGGGATTCTGGTGCCTTCACAGGCTCCTATCTCCATTTTGCTTGAACTCCGATAAAATATTGAGGGTCATGTCCTCGCTCTTGGATTGCAAATTTGCCTCACTTCTTCTGGAAGCTTTCCTGGTCGCTCGGGAGAGCCTCCTTCTGAAAGTATCTCCAGCCAAGAAATAGAGGATGGGGTCCACACAGCTGTTGAGACTGGCTAGACCTCTTGTCACCTGATAAGTGGCATACACCCTGTCATTGAAAGCACACATTTCTGGGGTTTGAAAATCCAGCCGGGCCCTCAAGTTCATCGTCTTCATCACATGGAAAGGGATGTAAGACACAGCAAAAACGGTGAGCACGATAATCACCAGGTAAATCGATTTCCTCCTCAGAGGCGAGTTGTCCAGGTCATTGTAAATCAAAGCTCTCACGATTAATCCGTAACAGCCCAGGATCAGCACCAACGGGACACAGAACATGGCCACGGTCGTGCACATGCTGTAAATGAAGTAACTTCGTAGGTACTCATCGGAGGTGGTGTCATAGCAGGTGACGGTTTTGTTCTTCCGGACCCCGGTGCCGGAGTAGAAGAGGATGGGCGAGATGGCGGCCACCACGATGAGCCACACCAGCACGCTGATGTAGACGGCGTTCTTCTTCTTGAGCCTGCCCAGGGACTTGAGCGGGTACACCACGCCGCTGTACCTGTGCGCGCTGATGCACGTCAGGAACAGGATGCTGCCATAAAGGTTCACGTGGAAAATGAACCTCTGCAGTTTGCACATGGCATCCCCGAAGATCCAGTCGGTCTTGTTGAAGTAGTAGAAGATGAGCGCGGGCAGAGTCAGCACGTACAGAAAGTCGGCTAGCGCCAAGTTGAACATGTACACGGAGATGCCACTCCACGGCTTCATGTGGAACACGAACATCCAGATGGCCCCGCTGTTGCCCAGGAAGCCGGTGATGAACACCAAGATGTAGACGGCCGGCAGGTAGTAGAACTGGAAGCCCGTCTTGGTCAGGGCACATTTAAAGGAGGTGGTGACGGCGGCGACGGAGGCGACCGTGCTGTTTCCCCAAGGCGAGCCCGGGTCGGTCAGAAAGGCAGCGTCCGTCCCGTTGGGGACAGCCGGCCACAGCACCTCTGTCATTCTCTTCTCCCCGACTTAGGCGGCAGCTTCGAGGGGGAAGCGGCGGCGAGAGGGCGGAGGTGGCAAAGGGCGCAGGGAGCATCGGCAAAGCCCGCGAGCGGAAGGGATCGCGCGCGCGGGGTCCCCGCAGAAGGGTGCGCGCGGGGGCTCGCCCACGCCGGCTGCAGCCGCGCGTCCCCCCGGGGCCATGAAATCGGCCCGGGGCAGCGCCTGAACCCGGCGGCTGGGCGGGCCGACAACTTCCCCGTCCGGCTGGCGGCGCCGAGGTTACACAACAGGGCGCACAGGGCACCGCCGCCGCCAACTTTCCAACTGCGCTTTCCCGAGGGTCCGCGGGTCCGCGCTGCCGAGCACGCCTGGTGCGCAGGCACGTCAGGCCGAACTCGCTCGGCTGAGGTCCGGCGTAGGGAGGGCGCACCCCAGCCTCCTTCTCCCAGGGATCAACTTCGCTCGGGCATCTTCCTCCTCCCTACCTTGGAGGCGAGGAGCTAGGCTTCAGGGCGCCGCGCCGCTCCGTCCGGCCCCCCTCACCCTGCGCACGGCCGCTGGGGTCATCGGTGCACGCGAGGCCGCCGACCCGTGCCCTTCTGGGTCGCGTCCTGTTCGCGGTCCGTGCAGGTCGGGGCCCTTCCCGAGGCCCGGCTCAGTCCCGAGTGCAGAGGGCAGGCGGGAGAGCCGAGCTCCCGGCGCGGTGGGCGGAGTCCGCGCTCGCGGGGAGGCGAGGGGCGTGCCTGCGCCCGGCCGCCCGCGCTCTCGGGGGCGCCGCCGGGGCGGTCGTCTAGGGCGAGAGGGTCTCTGCAGCGCCCGGGTGCGTTCAGTCCCCGCCCGGCCGCCGCCACCCGAGTCGGCCGCGAGAGCGAGGGGCGCACTGGGTCAGAGGCGGCTGCTGGCCAGCGACTACCCGCGCGCGCTCCTCCGCGAAGTGAAGTTGCTGACACACAGGAAACCCTCCGGACCGCCGAGCCCCGCGCCGCTGGCGCCCGAGCTGGCGTCCTGGAGCACAAGTGTCCGGGGCCCAGCCCAGGTGCTCGCAGGCTCCCGCAGCTCGCGGTCCCCAACCGGGAACGCCCCGGCTGAGCCTGGCACGTGTAGGAACCTGCTGCTGGGACGGCGTGAGCCTCCGCGGAAGCAGAGGGGGCTGGGAGGGGCGTGCCAGCCTCCAGGCGTTCTCGGGGGTTTGTTTTTGTTTTTCCCCTTTTTATTACAGTACTTTTTTTCTCCTCTTAATTAAGCAAATAAACCGACGTCACGAGTCACGTCAGTGTGAGAAGTCAAAAGGAGCCTGGTGAAAATTCCCGGAGTTGATTTACACGCTGCTTCAGTTAACACCCCCTAGACAAGCCAGCTCGCCAAATCCTCCCTGGAGCACGTCTAACCAAAAGATCAGAAACTCCAGTGAAAGAAAGAAAAAAAAAATCAAAATTAAACCTTTTGGAAGTAATTTGAATATTAAATCAGCTTTATGTAAATAAATGTAAAGAACAAAGTGATTCAGGTAAGGTTTGGGGCTTTATTACCGATCATATTTTTCTTTAACTTTTCTTTAACGGGATTACTTATAAATACCTCTAGTAAGTATCTTAAAAATTAAGGACATCCTTAATCACTGCATCTGTTGAGAAACTAATTTTTTAATTTTATTTGAAAGTATCCAAATTTTCGACAATGCATTTCAAAAATGTGCGTAAGCTCAATTGAAATGTAAATGGACCCATACAGGAACGGAATCAAACAGCACTTCTTGACAATTTACTAATTAATAATGCGTTATTTTTGTGACTTATTATCAAAGGCTATTTATTCTCTAAGAGGAATAAAGTCCAAGAATAAAATGCATTTCTCGCCCCTAATGTTATATGGTGGTGCCCCTTAAAAAATACTCAAGAGGAAAACCACAAACTCCTGGCTTCAGTACCAGAAAGGATAATCCACAGAGCCCGGGATGGTCCTTTAGAGGAACATGTGAAAGCTCCACTCCCCCGCACAGGGGAAGGGACTAGCTGGTATGGTGAGTTGCCCTGAAAGGAATAGCATGAAAATAACTTGACAAAAACAGAGTCATATCCCAAGTAAAGTGTCAAAATGTTGCTGTTCTGATGGCTATCTTGGTTATCTTGTATGTTTCCTTCCGGTCTTCAAATTAAATGATCCCATAATTCTGAGCTTTGATGTGAAACATCTTTCTGTTGTTTGATGAGCACAGTACTAGCTGGGATGGATGGAGAGTCTATTAAGAGGGAAACGGAGAAGCTCAGCTGCTCTGAAGGCTGAGGCAAGAGGATCCTAAGTTCCAGGCCAGCCTCAACAACTTAAGGAAACCCTATCTTGAAATTTAAATTTTTTTCAAAAAAGGGCTGAGGATGCAGCTTAGTGGCAGGGCACTTCTCTTACCTATGTGAGGCCTTGAGTTCAATCCCCAGCACCACAAAAGAAGGAAAAGGAAGCAAAGAAAACCATTAAGAGTGCTCCATAGGTATTAACTCCCCACTCTTTCTCATTTTTCATTTGCAAACTAAGCAATATGTAAGCTCACTCAGAAGCCTGTTGCAAGTGCATTAAGTCATAATGTGAGTGCTCTGAAATGTACACTTTAGTCCAAGCACCATTAAGTACTTTCAGAAAACGTATATCTTAGTATGAATATGGGGGAGGTAGTTATCCCTAACTACACTGTGGACTTTTTAAAACTCTTTTTTAAAATATTAAAGTATTTTAAATATTTAAAATTTAAAATATTAAATCTTTTAAAAAATATTTTAAAAGATTAGATTATTGTAAATACTGCTTTTTACCTTCAGCATATTCAACTTCATGTTTATAATGCAGAAGTTCAATTTAATTCAAAATTGTGCTTTATGAGAATAAGTTATGTGTAACTTCAATAATCATTTGTTCATAACTTTCTATTGGTAAAACATTGAGCAAGATTTAATGAAGGAAAAATAATAAAATGTCATCCAAGACCTAACAACAACCTATCAGTATTCATATTGAGTACCAATTAGAGATACCTTAAGGTATCTATAAAGATCTAACAAATGTGCTCTGTGTCTTTGGATATTTATCTCCAACATTCCGTGTTAATTTGCTTTTTATTTGAATAGCAATGTGTTGGGGCTCAGATACCCTAACGTGTGACCCTCTGCTGGGCTGAATACTCTGAGCTGGAGGAGACTGGAAGGTTTCAGATGCAGTCAGTCTCTCTCTGACCCTCTCCTGCCTATCTGTCTCTCCCTCTTCTTTCTCTCCTAAAACCAGAAATTCTCTTCCCCAAGGTTGGTCTAGATTCTAGAGCTCTTCTCCCCCAAAGCCAGCCCTAAGACCCAGAAAGTGACTGTCTCCCTTCTCCCTGAAGACTCTCGATGCCCCACAGCTGGGAGAAAGAAGTGCTGCAGGCCAAGGCAAGAATCATCCCCAGGAGACCTGCGGGGTTTCCCTCCTCCAGTTACCCCTAGATAATGCCTCTTTAATCCAGTCACCTTTCTGTGGACTGTCAACGGTCTCCATCAAACCTAAGCATAAAAACAGTTTTCCCTGGGTCCTTGGGTCTTCATGTCTGAAGGCTCCCATGACGTATAAAACTTTGTTTAAAAAATTATGTTCTTCTCATGTTAACCTGCCTTTGTTATAGGTGGCTGGACCCTGACCCTTATGATGGCAGAGGAAGGTCGTCCTACCTTTCCATCTCTACAGATGTAAGTTTCCTGCCTTCGAGGTATTTATAATTTAGCTGGAAATGCAGACGGTACACAGTTAACCACAGTAACAGTGTGGAAGACCGCAACAACAAAAGACCTCGCCTTCATATTCAGTACTATGCACACCCAAGGAACGCCATCTGCTTTATTCTTTAAACTATCCTGTGACAGTAGTTGGCTGTTGTAGCCCTATTTTATAAGTGACGAAACTCAGGGACAGAGAGGTTCCTGAGCAACCCATGAACACACGGCAACCTAAACAAACTTAGGCCACCTCTCTCTAAAAACCCATGCTCTTATTCACTATCCTGGGATGAGATGCAGACAAATGAAGGACACCGTTGGGGGGCTGAACTTTCAGTGGCCAGGACAGGCAGGGTCTAGAGAGGCTGCTCACAGAATCCTTGTACCAAGAGGGAACACTCAGAGCCAGATCTTGAAGGCAAAGAGTGATTAAGATGCTTCCCAAATATTCTAGTTTTCCATATAGGTTTTATAAAACTAGCCAATAATTTATATATAATCCAAAAAAAGATTGACAATTATTAGAAGTCAACAGTCGCTCTCTTCAGCCTTAGACTCATGAACAGAAAGGCTGCCTTCTGGGGTCTATGCAAATTTTTAATACATCTTTAGCAAATCTCTTCTTTTTCCTTCTTCAACGTCACAAGAAGTCCACTGATCACTGGTGATGAAAACATTGAAAAATTATGACTGAGGGCTTGGACTACATCTATTTTAATTAAGACCCCCCCCCCCATACGTCTCCTTCCCCTTCCCTCTCCCCATCTCCTGCTCCCTTTCCTCTGTTGATCTTTCTGCCATTTACCAATAGTATTTTTTTTCTTTTTCTTTCTTTTTTTTTTTTTTCCGTATTGGAGATTAAACACTCAGGGGCACTGGACCACTGAGCCACACCCCCAGCCCTATTTTGTATTTTGTTTAGAGACAGGGTCTCACTGAGTTGCTTAGAGGCTCACTTTTTGCTGAAGCTGACTTTGAACTTGTGGTCCTCCTGTCTCAGCCTCCCAAGCTGCTGGGATTATAGACATGCACCACCCACCTGGCCTCTAATAGTTATTTTTATTTATTATTTTTTCAATTAATTTCTGTGGATGTACACAATGGTGATATTCACTGTGGTGAATTCATATATACACATAGGAAAGTTAAGTCAGATTCATTCTACTTCTCTCCCTTTCCTATCCCCTTCCCTTCCCTTCATTCCCCTTTATCAAATCCAGTGAACTTCTATTCTTCCCTCCCTTCACTTATTGTGGATTAGCATTCACATGTCGAAGAAAACATTGGTCCTTTGGTTTGGGGGATTGGCTTTTTCACTTAATCTGATTGTCCCCAGATCCATCCATTTACTGGCAATAGTCATAAAGTCATTCTTCTTTATAGCTGAATAATATTCCATTGTGTATATATATACCACATTTTCTTTATCTATTCATCTATGCCATTTATTGATCAGCATCTAGGTTGGCTCCATAGCTCAGCTATTATGAATGGTGTTGCCTTAAACATTGATGTGGTTGTCACTGTAATGTGCTGATTTTAAGTCCTTTGGGTATATATCAAGGAGTGGAATAACTGGATCAAATGGTGGTTACTTTCTTAGTTGTTTGAGGAGCTCCATTATGCTTTCAGAATGGTTGCACAAATTTGTAGGTCCACCAACAATGTGTGGGTGTACCCTTTTCACCACACCCTTGCCGACACTTATTATTGCT